AAGGTCATAGCAAGCTTTTCTTCTCTGACTGCCGAACGCTATTGAATTATTGTATGGTTTGGAATCCGACACGAGCAGTACATTAACTAAGTATTTATTTATTTTGCCATTATTTTATCTCCTATAAATTCATTAGATCGATATGCATGGGGACAGTGGTGGAAAAATCTATCTGTTTCCTGTTTTTCTTCTTTTTTTATTTAATTTTTCAGACGAATGCTATTTACCAGCCATATAAATGAAATGTCTTATTACAGTATTTATATATATATATATTATATTTTTTGAATTAAAAGTGTTCATGAATATAGATGGATATACATTTGATGTAATAGGTGTTGGAAAATAAAATATTTTATAAGGTTCAAACATATCACATTGTCAAGATATTTAAAAGGTGAAGGTTTTATGTATGAAAACCCTGCATGAGCTTGTTGTAAGCAAGGAAAACGAAGTAGGTTCTCGCGCAAACAAAGTTGGACCAAATCTTGAAAAAAGTTCAGATTTCGCCCCTGCACCTGAATATACACGCATATACATATGAGTTGAGTCCAAGTGAACTTTTGTATAACTGCTACAGTCTTTTTGCATCGAGTTTTATATTGAAGGAAAAGTCTATTGAATCTTGGAGGATAATCGCTACAGTCCTTTTGCATCGAGTTTCATACTCCGAAAGGGTAAAAATTATATTTAAAAACAGTGATCTCACGCCTCAGACTTCTTCTTATTCCTCGTTTTCCATAATCACCTCTTACAATAGGTAGAGTCCTATACACTCTAAATTAACAATAGCATCTTGTCACTCATTAAAATTAACTACTACATCTTTATAAATAAAAATATTTAAAAAGAATGTAAGTGATTCATTGTTAATAAATACTTTAAATTAACTTCTATTATAATTCATGTCATATATTAAATATGTATCTATCTTTGTTTTTTCTCAATAATTATGTTTTATTTATATAATTAAAAATAAAATATACACATTTTCTTACTAGAGATATAAATCAACTTTAAAAAATTCTCTGTCCAAATCGTATCCTTTTTTACCATTCCTTTTCAACCTTGCAAACTTAGCTTGTAATACGATAAAGATTGAAGAGACAAAACATTTACCGGTTGTTTCAAGTTTTAACTTTAAGGAAAAGATCAAAAAAAGTAATCAAATTGGATAGAATCCCAACTCATTTTTACGTACTTACTTTAATTAAAAGCAACAAAATCAGTGTACGCTAATTAGCCAATCGAATTCCTTAGCTATTCAGTAGAATCGACATTGATTTTTCTTGTCTCTTTTTTTCTATTAAATTTCAAAGGCCAAAAGCAAAAAAGAATGAATAAATAATTACAAATAATTTCTTGAATAATAAAAGTGTATTTAATTACAGCTATGGAGTTGGTAAATGCCAATGGGCATGATGCAGCCAGTTTGAACTTTTGCAAAGCTTTTAATTATTGAATCTTATCCTATTGAAAATAGGGGAGCATCGATATCAGCCAAACTTTCGGGTGAAATAACAAATTGACAAACATCGAAAATGATACATATTTTTCCATCATGCCTCCTCCTAATGGCCGTTTCTGTCGTTTCATTGTTTTCATCATTCAAAGGTCAATCTTCTGCCTTCTTAATTTCTTCCTTTATTATTATTATTGTTATTATTTTAGAGAACATTATCCTATTGAAAAATTATACTTTAGCAATAAAGGGGAAACGAAAAGAATAGGTTACTGAAATCAAAATATTCATGGAGACATCCCCATTATAGTTATATACTTTACTTATGCTAATTAATGCATTGGCATGATCGTATTAAAAAGTTAAATCATGAAGTGTTAGACAAACTCTTATAAATGATGCGCAGTTTAATCATGCTCCGCCTTAATTTAACTTAATCATATTCTTAATTTAGTTAGTGACCCTAATTACTATAAAACTTAAAGAGGAAGGCAACTGAATTTGGACATGATTCAACTCCTAGCACTAGTATCAACACAAATGGTTGACATTAAGAAAATTGTATGTAAATTATTGTTAGTAATGATTGAAGGGGAATGACCATGTGTTTTATTCAAAAAAAAAATTCCAAAAGCTTTGAACAAACAGTTTCATAAACCTAATTGTTCAACATGATTTTTTTTCTCAATCAAGGTAAAATTTTATTTAAGTATTCTGAAAAAAATTGATCAAGAAAAGGTCAAGAAAACGTAACATCCGATACGAAATTTTATCACCTAATAAGAGATAGATAAAGGCTCATAAGCCAAATACAGAGATATAAACACCCACCCAAATGTTTGACTTGAAAATTATTGTGAAATTAATAACCAATTTTACTCAAAGATGAAGTTAAATGTCATTGCACATTTTAAATAATTAAGTATAGCAATATCTATCTTTTAAGGAAAAATACGAGTATATAAAAATAAATATAAAAAGTGAAATAGCTTTGATATTTGTGACAAATATAAGACTTCCATGCCTTGTCGTTTTTCATCATCTCCCTGGAAAATAGAGAAGAAGAGGAAAAGTCGGCATCAATTGGCAAGGAAACCTAGACATTGGTGAGAGCTGGCTGACCCCGACAGGAAGGAAGTGAAGTGGGCCAGGTCACGGTGGAGATGGGCCTCAATTGAATTAAGAACATCGTCCTACTTTGTCAATCAAATTGGTCTGGGAGTGGGCCGGAAGGACGACCCAACCAGTAGATGGTGTACCCACCTGACGTGGGGGCATCTACACCTCATCATCATGTTTATGGTCCTACGCCCGTCAAAACGTATGGTGCTTCGAGGACGGACCCTTGATTGCTAAAGCTCCCCACCCCCAAGCCCAGGGCCCACAGCCACGGCCCCCCGCCCACCCCCTCTACTACCCATTTCCTTCCATGTGCGCTTGCTCTTTCAATCCTGATTTTGACTCGACACTAAACAATCCTCATCTTCACTCCTAACATTGTTTCCATCAACCCTCCTCCTCCTCTGTTCTTTTCATGTTTGGCTTTTAGTTTTGTTATTAGTCTCTGTTCCATTAATTACATTCATTTATATACATGAAAGATATTTCTTTTATATATTATATGAGTAGAGTATTTGAGTATTTATCTTAATAATTGATGCATCATTTTTTATTTAAAAATAAAATCCAATTTTTTTATAAAAGAAATCACATTGTTAAGTTATTTGAAAAAAAAGGAGAAAATCTATAAACAACTGAATTTCCAGGATAATTTAATTTGACCTATTTAGATTTTAAAATGATAAATTTGAAGATTTTAGGATATCTATTTTTATTAAAAAAAATAAAATGAATAGTGATTCTCATCTCTAAGTTTGATGCAGTCATTCCTCCATATCTGGCCATTGTTTTTTTCTTCCAACGGAATTTTTTTTTTTTACAGATCAAAGTCGTGTACGGAATATGTGCTTTAAATGGTTTTTGGATGTTTTATGAGAAGATGCTACAAACCGCCAAGGATATGTCCGAAAAAAAAGGGGGGTCCAAAGGAACTAGCTAGGTCTTGGTGACTTTATAAGGGATGAGCAGTGAACACTTTGATCATTTGTCCCTGTGTTTTTTCTTGGACGGCAGTAACCCACCTTGCCCTCTGGCAGGAGAGGTTCCACCAAAATGCTGCAAAAATGAACAGCACAGTATCAGGAGATTAAAAGAAAAATATGAAGCCTTATTTCAAGGCAGCGGACAGTTATGTATGTGTGTACATTAAATGAAATTTTAACCTAGACAATGTTTCCTTTTCTTGTCTATATTTTTTTGGTTTTCGGGTTTCCAACCATCCTAGTACAAAAACAAGTAAAATCCAAGTTATTCGTGGAGGGGAAAAATGTTTCCCGAAGGGTATGGGACATGGTTCGAAGAAGGCCATAGGTTTTGTCCTAGACAGGAAAACCGACTCTTTAATCCCAGCCATAACTTAAATAAGGGTAACAACAATGTAGCATGTGATATGGAGAAGTATGGATGAAATTATTGCAACTCGGTCGTGTCTGGAGATAACAAAAAAGATTGTGTTGATTATGATGAGTCGAGAAATTTGTTTGGGCATAGGTTTTTCTGGTCCGAAAGCGGCAGTTCAAGGCAGCCAAGGACAGGAGCTGGTGTCCACGTTGGTTTTCTGACACTGCGCAAGTCCTTGTTCGCGAAGGAAGATTGCCTTTTATTATTTCAACCCATGAAATGATGAATTGATGATATGATCACTTCACGAGGTTCCAAGATGGGAACATGGGCTTTTTTCCTTATCTGAAGTGCATTCGATAAGTCAATGTTAGCCTCTTAGGACCAAACACCACTATGGGAATTGAATACCACCAAGGCCCAATTTTAATGGGCCTTGCAGCCTTAACAATTTAGAGCGCGAAAAGCCCGTCTTATTGTTCAGCAACCAAAAAACAAAAATAAAATCATGTTATAACCAACAGCAAGAAAATTTTTATCTGTGTTTTTTCTAATAAAAATGTGAAAAAATAGAATAAAATTCTAATATAAATATTTTTGTGGAAGTATAATATCTAAACAAGCATTCAATTATTAAGAAACATTCAAATAAATTTTATTTTTATTATATTTAATTAAATTTTTATATTTTTATTTTAATTTAAATAAATTTTTATATTAATAGTAATTAGCCAAAACATAAAATTTAGATATATAATAAAATTTTTATATTTTTATTTTATGAATAATTACATGATATGTTGATATCGTATAATTATATGATTTTTTTTATTTTTTTTATCAATGTCATATAAGTATAAAATAATAATTAAAATTTTAAGTAATAATATTTAATTAATAATTAATAATAAAAATTATTAAATTTAAAATAAAATATAAAAAATTAATTTAATATGATAAAAAATAAAAAATATTTAAATATTTTTAAATACTTTAAGATAATTTTTAAGTTTGTCATAATTAAAATAATAAATGTTTATTTCATAACATGCTTATTTTTTTCTCATTGGTTCATTATCATTCATCCGACAATAGCGGTCAAAGATTCCAAAAAAAAAAAAGGGTAAAACAATCCCAAAACACCTACCGGTCCTCTCCTTTCTTTCTCAACCAATTTTCCACCGTTGACGCCTAATCAGAAATGCTCGAACAAACTCTCATGACCCTTCATCAACATCAACGATCATGATGGCGACGGACAGTTAATCCACCATACTCCCGCCCTCACGTTATCATTTCGTTTTGTCATGAACATAATTGAAGCGGCGCACCTTGGAAGCAGGCGACCACTCTTTTCGCGTTGTGCTCTACTCTTCGTTTGCCCTTTCCACGTTACGAACTGAAAGACCTCGGAAAACTGCCCCATAAAGAGCATTAGGTAAGCTATTTCGCCTTTTCTTTCCTTTTTCAGAAAGATAATTCCGGATGCCGATTCGGTCGCAAGTTATAATTTTTGGTTTTTTCTCTTTTTATTTGGTTTTAAGATGGGAACTGGAGATGAAGTAGTGGAAATCGAGAGCTTGGAGAGAAGTTTGTTGTCGGAGTCTATTACCGGAGAAGAAGGTACGGAGGCAGAGGATGAGTCGGTTCTTTGCACGGCGTCGTTTCAGGAGATGGAAGAGAATTTCGTCAAATATCAGACGGCTCAATGGGTTTTGTTTTCCTTGCTTTTGATACTAGCTTGGGGTATTGGCTTGTTCATGCTCCTATACATCCCCGTTCGAAGATACATTCTCCGTAAAGATATTCGATCCCGAAAGCTCTATCTCACTCCAAACTCCATCGTTTACAAAGTAAAATTCACCATTTCTCTTTCTTATTTTTAATTTTTAAAGCATGCATCTGATTCGAACACTGGTTAGGGTGCTATTTTGAGATATATTCACAATAAATGCATTAACTACAAAGGTAAATACATTCAATAGAATAGGCAGTCGCTGACATTTAGCTTTGCTAATTCAGGTAACCAGGCCAGTTCCATTTCCTTGTTTTGGGGTTTTAAAGAAGGAGAAACATGTTCTACTGCCTTCAGTTGCAGATGTTGTAATTGAACAAGGTGAAAAGAATTTATGTTCTTTACTTGTTTAGATAAAGATTTTTATTTTGAATGTTTTAATATATATAATTTTTTGGTATTGTCCTTTAGGATATCTGCAGTCCCTTTTTGGAGTATACTCTCTTCGAATTGAGAATGTTGGTGTAAGAAGGCCACCGAGTGATGATGTGCAAATTCAAGGCATTGCAAATCCAAGTGCTTTTAGGAAGGTATTTCTTATTATCTAATCATTTTTGGGTTGCTGATTTCTAAGAAGAGAATGTTAACTAGGCCTTTCCATGCTCATTTTAAGGCTGTTTTGACACGCCTTTCAAATATGAGGACCGAAGTTTTCTCTCGACAGGTGTCTGCAATTGAAGATACTCCAAATTTTAGGATTCATTCACCAGCTTCTTGGGTATGCCAGTCAATCTAATAGTTTCTGTAATTAGTTGGGTTATGTATGATAGGGCTTTAAAGGCTGTTAGCTATAAACCTAGAGACTCCATCAAGACACTGTTTGTTGTCAATCTGTCAGCCTCTGTTTTAATTAATGTTCAATAAGGAATAGGTTTAATGTTCTTTTTCTTTCTTTTTGATTGCAGCTTTCTCCACCAAGGTCTAAGCTTGATGCTATCCCTCATTCAGGGGATCTTGCATTATTACAAAAACTAGAGGAGGTTGGGAGCTCTGTGAAGGTAAAGCAAGCATTATATGTTTTTCGGTCTTTGACAGTATTTATGCATCTGCTCTTGGACTTTGATTTGATTTTTGCTGCAGAGAGTTCAATCTTTGATCGAGGAACAGCATAGTCAAACATCAGAAACAGCTGATTGAGGTCAGTATACCAAAATGCAGAATGAAATGCCAACTTCTTGCTTCTGCTTTCTTGTACCTCATATTGTTGAATTGTGATTTACATGTACATTGTGGCAAAATTAGCTACTCTCTTATGGTAGTCTTGAATCCTAGCTTTCTCCTGCCTTCCTCTACTTTGCTTATTAACCTTGAAAATTTTGATGAAAGGAGTTCTTGTCACTGATCTTGTACATTTAAAAGAAGGGGAATTTAACTTGAAGAAATATTATTTTCATTTAGTGATTCATATGAAACTGCGTGCAATATTCTTTCTTTCTTTTGGCGGTGTCTGTGATGTTCTCGTTTTTGGGCATTTTTTATGCACATGTTCACTCACATATACACACGGACACCAACAGTTGCGATGTTGTTATGTTTATTGGTTGGCAGCCTTGTCTCTGATGCTTAATGAATGATCATTCAGGCGGTAATGAGAAAGGGCATGAGCTAACCAATTTTGAAAATAATCAACTGTTTTTGCCTTTGTTGGCCTGTAGTAGCAGTTGCTTTATGTTGACTCCCCATGCCCAACCCCAAATTCTTTTCAGCTGGGCTTGAACATTAGAGCCATCACCCATATTCAAGCGCTATAAGTTACTTTGACCTGTGAATGGGATGCAGGCACACCCCTTAGTTGGTATATGCATTACTCGGGAGCAAAACAAACATCTTCAAGAAATGTTAATTGATTAAATCCTACAACAGATTAAACAAAATTGAGTTGCTTTTGGTGCACTGTGGGGATTGCAGCCTTTAAGTTTTCTTTTAGCAGTTGAGGAGGTTGTGAAATCTGAATGGTTGTGGATGTGATGATCATTCTTGCATATAATCTTCTACCTCCATTTCATTTTCTTCTTCTTCTTCTCTCATCTGCTATTGAAGCAAAGCATTTGCAAGCCAAAGCTCAGTTGGTTTACTAATTCATAGATAATATATATGTATCAACAATTATTCGTACAATCAAGCTTTCTTGAAATTCCAGATAAGCTTATCTGCTTACTTTAGCTCTAAGGAAGCCAGTGCCACATTACACAATTCTTTGAAAATTTGAGCCTGGCCACTCTATCGAAGTTTAATTTATGGCGTTCACAGTGAGTTGAACATTGAGATTGTATTCAGTATCCTCTGATTATCTATCATATCTGTTCTGCTTGGCGCAATATGTCCTGAATTTGATGTTGGTCAAAACTGCAGTGCAGGCAAACTAAGCATCATTCAAGGCTTGTTCCTGCAGCAGTCAGGAGTCAAGAAGGCATTTGAATCTTTTTTCTCACAAGATGCCGTCTGAAACTACTACTTATCCTACAAATATTTCTGGATCAAGTTTTGAGTGAGATATATTTACACTTCTTTTTGATCTTTCCTGAGGCTACAACCCTCATACTGCTATATTGTTGTCCATCATTCAATTTGTAATTTCTCATGCCCAATTAGGAAACGAAAAATAAATCTTCTACATGTATGTGCGCCGGTTTTACAACTGTCTACTTCATTCCTTTGTAAATTCATTTGCTTTCACTCTAATTCATGGAGTTTGTATTATACTGTTATATTAATCATCATGTTTATTGTTTAGTAATCTTTTTTTACATTATATACTGAATGGTGTTTCACAACTTCATTAGATTATCTGTCACCTATATCATACATACAATCCTGCCCTATGCCCGTTACTTCAACTCAGTTTTGCGTTATATTACTTTAATAAATAACATCAATATGCCAATTCCAGATTTAAGTCCTGTGCATCAAATGATAGAAATTTCTAATAAATTGTTTTTGTTTGGTAAAAATCACATGAATGATAGTAAATACAATACCTAAAAAGTAATATTTTTCACTTTGTTGGATAGAAAATGGTGGTCATATTGAATTGATATGCTATTATAGTCTGAGAAATGGGGTCAGCTCCACATGAAAAGCAGTAAGAAGTACTGGCAAGAAATGCAGAGCGGTAGAGGCTGAGTTCCTGTAAATCTATCAGTGACTACTTAACCTATCATTAGCAGTATTAATGTTATTTCTCTTATACTGTCAATCACAATTATCAAACAAGAATCTGATAAAGACTAAAGCATGAAATATTAGGTGGAGACAAGATGATATTATTATAAGAAAAAAACTCTCAACCCTTGGATGGGTTTATGGAAAGGTCTGAACTTGAATCCAACGTCAGGAGAGGTGGTAGTTGCATGTCATTGTTTCGTACGAGGAGTTTGAAACTAATGCTAGTTCTCGAATTCGGTTGAGAAAATGTAGTTTGGGTTACCAATTTCTGACTTGTTTGCTAAATCCTCAGCACTTAAATAACTAGTGCAGTTCTTCGACAGGTTTGGTTAGCGGCCTTACTATTTGCTACAGGCACGGCAAGCACCAACCAGTTACTCTCTTCTATTCTGCTCGGCACAATGGAACAGTATAAAACGTCTGTCTATCATTTGTCCAAAATTTTCCGTTTCTCCTCCATATTCTCAGCTGCCAAACAAATTAACCGTATACGAAAATAGTTTCAGCGTGCATGCACGAATCTGTTAAGTGGTTTGTCAGAACATAAATTAATATTAGTAATTGTTTCGTCCTGGGTGAAGATTCTTTTTTCATTTAGTTTTCATGAAACAATGTTTACGACCAGGGGTATGGGAATCCCATGATCTTTTCAACGGGTCTTTCGTCGCCATAACAAGTATTTGACCAACACTTAATACACCCTTTAAGATTAATTTAAATATTTTAATACCCTAATTAATGGTTAATTTAGTAATATTAAATTTCAACACAAAATAATATTACCATAATTTTAAAAAGTGCAAAGGATTCGTCACTAAAAACCCATTAAAGATATTATTGAACAAGTCAGGAACCAACAATTCAAAAGTACTTATAGATGATATTTATTCAAAAAGTAAGGTCATTAAAAATTTGTCAAAGAGTTGAATGATTGGTCGATAAATGTGGATTTTGAGCATTTTAATCTCCATTAACCAAGGTTTTTGTTCCACACAGTTTCAGCCAAGGCAAACACTCCAACGTGCCAGGCCTAATTTTTCTATTAAGACAAGCAACATGATTCAAACAGAAAAGACAAAAAGCTTACATTAAAATAGAAACAGTGGTGTGTAATTAAATAAAGCCTAAAAAGTAAAACGTAACCTAACATTTTGGTATTTGGCAAACAATTTTGCAACTTCGACCATGTCTTCACCCCTGCAAGGCTGCAACCAAAAATTCCAACTCTCTACCCAAACAAAGAAAACTAACAAGGAGAGAAGGAATACCAACACATGTACCAAATGATTTTCTTTTAAATTAAAAAAATAGCACGTAACTTTCATAAAAAGGGTGTTTGATTTCAGGGCAAGAGAAAAGAAAAATGGTCATGAGTTAGATTTTCACTGGAAGCAGCGTGACGACAATGAGGTAACATTAATTATAATCAACCACCTAATTAAAAATCTCCAGCAATTTGGCATTAATATTATCTAATCATTTTGCATAAACCTTTGTATATAACTAATAATAGCATCAACCTGTCTTGATGGTTTATATTGAAAACAATAACTAAACAATAAAAAAGATGTTAAATTTTGAAAGTTTCTTTTAGGGCCCATTCATCTGCTTTTTTTTGGGCCATGGCGGCACGACTTTGTACTCACCACAACCGTGCCTCGGTTCGGCGAGCGGAGGGGGTGTGGCGCGGTTGATGGCCTTCCAGCTGTGCTTCATCCCCCTCATCGCACTGGAGGGAGAAGGGTGCACTGGCTGCCCTTTCTCCCTCCTTCCCATTTTACCCTCATTGACATTTTCCTTTTTCTTTTTGTATCCTTGATTGCATTGTACAAATACGAAGATGCCCTCACTTCTTGACCTTAATAAGGTTTGGTATTTTACATAGAATGTGATGATTAAAAATATAATTGATGAAAGTTAACTTTACAGTATTTGATATAATATAAAAAATTAATGATTGTAGAGAATGTAATTATTGAAAAAATTACACTGTAATGTTTAATTTGAAAGCATTTTATTATGAATGTAATATAAATTTACAAAATTATCTTTATGTATAAAAATATAAAGTTGAATAAATTTATATTTTTTTAAAATTTAAAATTTTATTCTTTAAAATAATAAATAATAACATGAAAAATAGCATAATATTTGAAAACTAATTATTTTTTTTTGAAAAGCGAATACTAATTATTTAAATATTAAATTATGTAAAGTTACTAATTTTTATTTTTATAATTAATACATATAAACATTAAAAAGAATTATTTTTTATAATAATGCCTAGAATTATTACAAGAATAATAAAAACATTTTTAAATAGATTTCTATTTTTTTGTCTTTGACATTATTCAGTTAATATTTTTAAAAAAATAGTAAATGCTTTTAATAATATATAGTACAAAGAAATTTATATTTAAATTCTTTAAATAAAACAATACAAAAAATAAAGATAGATCAAACCAATAAAATTCAAACTAATAAGTTCATATTAAGTTTATATTTAAATTGTTTAAATAAATATAATTCATTTTTACATAATAGTAAAAAATGGATTGGGTTGAATCAACAAAATTTTGGGTTGTTTAAGAGCATGGCCAAAGTTCAATCCATTTTAAAAGTATAAAATATATTTTATACGTATTTATTCATAAACAGGTATTGACCTAACATAATTGATGAATTTTAGTGAAATTTATACAAAATAAGAGTTTTAATAAATAAAACTAATATTTTAAGAGTTTAATTAGATATAATAATAAAAAATAAAATTTTATTTAAAAAATGTGATAAGTGTTTTTCTTTTTTAGAATTTTAGCCAATTTCCACTAAGCAAAAATATTTTTCTTTTTCTTTTTCTCTTTCCCTTCCATTTCTTCTTTCTCTTTAATCCTCTTTACCCTTCCTGGCACAACCCTCTTTTCTTTTCTTCTTGGTTTTTGGCCTAGCTTGTGAATAAATGATTTTGTTGTACAAGGGTTCCTTGGCTTTTATGTCCTGTTGACTAGATCTTCTGAGAGGTTGAGTGAGGTTATGCTAACCTTTGCCATTATTGGGGATTGTAGATGATTTTTGTTGGGATTCACAAGATAACCTAGTCCCCACAGATGTCTTTTTTTGTGTTTTGCATGACTGTTTTTTTTGGTTGAAAGAGATTGAATTTCTCCTAAAATTGTTTTTCTTTTTTTTTGAATTTAAGGAAAGGATTTATACTTACTCTTTAAGCAAGAATTATACACCAAACACCCCCTTAATTGTGTACTTTTGCAACCACTTTTGCTATTTATTTTTTCAAATTAATATTAGTTCAAATCATTTTTATAAATAAACAGCTTTGTAACTATATTATCTAAAATATTAGTAATTAAATCAAAATAAATATATTCATAGTTAATCAACCAAATAAAACAAATTAATATATTCATAATTAAGTATATAAACACTATCATAATATATTAAAAAATATAATCCGTTATTTATAAGTATTTGAAATATATTATTAAATAATACATTCTATGAAATTTAATAATTAGTAATTATTTCATTGAAATTTTATTTTATTGCAATTTTCATTTAGTTCATTTATTTTTAGTTAACACTAATTTTTATTTTATCTAACACTAGAATATAATTGTAATATATCAAAAAAATTTTTTGCTAATTACACATATGTGTAAATATATTATTATTATTATTTCCTTGATTTTCTTTGGGATTTAAATTTCAAATATTGTGAAATTATAAATATACTCAATTTTTACTTATTGTTTTTAGTAGTCAATTTTTCTTCTTATCATATCGTAATTACTAGTTTTGTTGAACACATTAATTTCATCCTTAATTAAATTTCACCAATACAACTATCATCATAAAGAATTTCATTGATGTGTGGAATGAGGGCTTAACTTTAAAGAATATATTCAAATCTTGATTTTTTTTTAATTTTATATTTTACTTTAATGATAAGTTTTGATCGAGTTGAATATAGCAAAGATCATAATTGACTTTTTCTTTTTTCATTTTATTAATCAATTAAAGAAAAGTTTGATGAGACTATCAAAGGAAATTTAAGAAGTTGTAAGCAAAATATACAATAAGACCTGTTTTTTTAACATTATAAAATAAGAGAAAAATAACATATATTAATGTTTATATAAAAAAATTATAATCAAGATTAATTTAACAATTATTTTCCCTTATCTTATTAAAAAGAAAATTTCATCAACATCCACAAATAAGAGCCAAAAAATTATGCAATAGCATAATTGAAATTGCATCTAAAGAGAGTTAGATGATAGGTGTCATGGTCCGCACCAACCTTTATGAGCTATTCTTTGCTTTTGGCCATTCATTTTATGATTTTGTCTCACAAAAGGCGTCTCACAAGTTAAAGGTGGTGTGAAGCCTTATATGCTCAGTTTCACTCTAGTACGTAGTCAATGTGAGATTCATGGCTCCTCTTTCTAGGATCATGACATCTACCCTTACTCCCCACTAAGGCTTTTTCTTCAAAGTAAGATTTTGTAACTCTACCCTCTGAGAGCATTATCTTACTCCCCGCTGGAAGTTTCT